TGCTCCTTCAGTCTCAGAAGTCTCGCATCGAGCTCTCTGTAAACACGCTTGCGTGACTTGGGGAGGGCACCACAGTCGAGCTGAGCACGTTTAGCTTTGTCTACGGCTTCGGTTTTCTTGATGTTGCAGATGAAGAGGTAGATACTGCGTCCAGATCCGTACCGGAAAACGTGCCTCATAGTCCACCCATGTACTCGTGACGTAGTCGTTGAAGTTCCTGACCTTCTCTGTCTCCGGGCCTTCATCTATGGCAGCGATCCAAGTGTCCTGCACCATGTCTCATGGAAGTAGTGGAAGGGCAGCTGCTCTCCTGACATGGGTCTGCACCTGTGGGATGTCCTTGTAGACGTTTGTCAGTCCTTTCTCAACCTGAGTGAAGTGGAGGAAGCATCCACGCACTTCACAATCCCATAGGCGGATCCAGAGTGGGGGTGCAGGGGTGCGCACCCCCCTTTTGTCCTGAAAGTTTATTAAATGACTATTGAAACTGGTGAAAATGAAGTGTGCACCCTCCCTTTTCTCAATAGTGTGCACACACCCCCTCCACTGCCCTGATGGCTGACACATCAAAGTCTATCTGGATTTCACTAGGCGCATGTTCACCCCTACTTTGTCCCTAACAACATCATTCAACAACGTGAATAGTCTGACATAGGTAGCCCTCGTACGATTTTGCAACAGCGCATGCACACATGGATACATATCCCCATTCACCATACAGTGAATGACATACAGCAGGTCCCATAGGGCTGGTGCAACATAGAAACTTCCATCCATATACCACTTGTCGGCACTGTGGAGCATGTTTAGCATGTCCTCTGAAGCAAAAGCCAGTATCTATACACAGAAGTAGATGCACAGATATATACTAATATAATCCCCTTAATTATCCCTTACTCCAAACGAAACGCCCCTTCTTCATTGATACTCGGGCTGTTCCATTATTTTACAGGGCAAAAAATATTTTCCCACGCTGCCTACAATGTTTTTGTTGGCAGCTTGGGATGCAAGCAGTTTGGGACCTAACCCCACATTCTCCTGTTTGTGTAGATGTATTTTGACTAATTTTGCATCATTATTAACAGTGTACTAGCCATGCTTTGAAATGTAATGAAATTACTGATACTATTACAACAGTTTAGTTGACGTCATTGCTTGTTTTATGTTTTTTGCGACGTCGGAAAAAGAGGACATTGGTATGGTAATTAGAATTTATCATCCAAAACTGTGTTCCACAGGAGATATACGGGCTAGGATACACAGGTGATTATTTTTGTGATAATGGCACATGTGCTTTTCAGTGATTCTCAACGTTGATTGGTCAGCTAAGCAGAGAAGAAATATGATTGGTTGACGGAACTACTTTTCATGATCCACGTTCACTGACAACTTTTACCGTTTCATTGATAATTAGAACGTGCTGTAATCACACATTCCGAGATTTAAAAAAGTAAACAATATGAATAATCTTTTTATTAGACGTTATTATTTTGCAATAAAATTGCGTTATAAATAGTAGTATTTATAAATTATATATTCCTAAAAAAATCCACCAAAACAATCGTTTGCATTGTTTGTAAACAAACATGGCCGCCGTTAGGCTAACCCCGATCAAGGTCACTTACCTAGTTAAAGTTGACGGTAACCAAATAGGAAGAGTGATACGAATTTTACAGCCCTTGAATTCCCAAAACCTGTTTGTTGTTAAAACTGAATTCGGGGAAATAGAGACAGCAAGATACCGACTAAAGATGTTATCTGAAAGCGTAACAAGTGAGTCGGACACGGCGTCCATGCCATCGAACCAGAAAACAGCTCCTTTCTTACCGGAATCAGTGCTAAATGTTCTTCTTCAAGATGACTTTTTATATCCATGCATTCCTAATCAATCCGAGATGTTGGTCCCAATAGCCGATGCAGAGATTGACACATTTCATAGACTCGGATTCCGACTAGAGTTATCCTTCTTGGAACTGCTGTACTCTAAATATCTCCTAGGAGTTATCGTTTTGACAGTAGATTTTGTACAACGCCCTGACAATGCTATGACGTCATAAACTTGTTGACGTCACAATGTTATGACATCGCTGCACTGCAAATCTAATGGCAGTACTGTGTTCAGAGATGTAAATTTTTCATTGAAAACTAATGAAGAGTGAGTTTTGATGATAAATAGAATCTCACCCTCGTGTCTTCTGATATCAAATATATCAACACTCGTTGATAAAAGTAAAAATATCCTCGGCAAGCCTCGGATATTTGTTACTTTGATATCAAAAGACACGAGGTGAGATTCTCTATATATCTCTCACCTAATTTCCATTAATTGTATAAAAGGTCTCGGCTTCTAAGTCTGAATTTAACACTCTTCAGACAAATCGTAAAATGATTGATTTTACCATTTAAATAGTGTCCTGACTATATCAACAATTAGACGGTTTGTCTGTGTATCTTATGGCATCAATTTAACGTAAATGAAAAATAATATTTCACAACTCCCAAATATTTTTTAGGATAAGAATTTCCTTTGTTTATGGTTATGTAGCTATTTTTCTTCATAAGTATGCAATGAAAGATGCAAAAAGAATATGGACTTAAGGTTTGTCCAAGTTAAGACATGACATGTTTTTTTGGGGCGGTGGGGTAGCCTAGTGGTTAAAGCGTTGGCTCGTCACGCCGAAGACCCAGGTTCGAATCCCCACATAGGTACATTGTGTGAAGCCCATTTCTGGTGTCCCCCGCCGTGATGTTGCTGGAATATTGCTAAAAGCGGCGTAAAACAAAACTCAGTCAGTCAGTCATGACATGGTTTATATATTTTTAAACAATAATTATTTTCGTATAAAATATGGTTAGAGTCTGATATCCTGTCATCACAATATTTTTTAATCGAATATGAATTGATTATATAATCGAAAACAATGATAGTGAATCATAAAACGTTTCTGACAAACCCGTACCTGGCAAATCAATATACATCATTGTTTTGTGCATAAAACGACACAAACAAATTCAATGAACAATACAATCCCTTTAAATATGTGTGCTTATACATTTCATAAAATGTATAAATCATTTTCATTAATATTATCCGTTTTACTTTGAATTAAGGTTGATTTTAGGTTGAATTAAATCGCTGTTCACATGAAACTGTACAGTGATGCATTTGTCGGAGCTCAATATGAAATAAAATAAAAAATTATTTAGAAAAATGAAAAAATGAAATAAAATAAACAAAAATAAACAAGGCTTACAGCCGTGAAACTCCTCTGGGGGAATGATTTTAATTTTTACAGTCTCACGTAATGCTTAGAGTTTTAGAAAGCCTCGTTTTGAATATTTTGTTTACTGTTACCACAATCGAAAGCTTGTGATCATATGTCGAGGAACCAGAGCGCCCTCTAGGAAACGCTGACAGATTGGAGTAGCGTCCGTTGAATAAAATTTCCGCGATGCCACCAGACGTATGAGTGAGTTAGGTTTTACGCCGCTTTTAGCAATATTCCAGCAATATCACGGCGGGGGACACCAGAAATGCAGGCGCGTAGCAAGCTAAATTTATCGTATAAGCCCGGAAGGTTGCAAAGCTTTATATTTAGATAGTATTGAGGGCTTGTCCAACCTTTTTAGCAACAATCATGTGTAAGCCCGGGCTTTATTTTACAATTGTAGCTGCGCCACTGAAATGGGCTTCACACATTGTACCTACTTGTGGAATCGAACCCGGATCTTCCGTGTGACGAGCGAACGCTTTAACCACTAGGCTACCCCACCGCCCCACCAGACGTATTAAATCCGACCGCGACGTTCCCAACCATTGCCAACGTTGGGCCAACTATGTTTCCGGGTAGTATGAAACATTCCTCCGTTTAAATTAAATATGGGCGAAGGGGTTACGCACCTAATTATTGTCGATGGTTGGAGCGTTAGCTCGTCACGCCGAAGACCCGGGTTTGATTTCCAACGTGATGGGCACAATGTGTGAAGCCCCCAACGGTGTCCTCCGTCGTGATATTGCTAAAAGCGGCGTAAAACCATACTCACTCACATAAATTAAATAACGATCCTTTAGTTGCTAGTGATCTACAGCCCGGTTTTTATATTGCATTGTCCTGTAGAGCATATTTTAATGCTTAAAATGCTAGTTTTAGATTTCTCTCTGTGATAACCTAGTTGTCTTATTGTGTATTGCTCACAGAGTTTATGAAAAGCTTTATTTATTATTAAAGTATATGTTTTTTTAGTCACGATATGGCTGAAATATTGCCACTGTAACTTTAAATCTTAACTCACTCGCTCAACAGTCCAAAATCTGGAACAAGTAAACCATAACAGTTGTTATATTTTAGACGACAAATAGTATTTAAATATCTAATCTTGTATTATTGCAATGAGAATTAATACCTTTTTGAAATAGCAGGTTCACTAGTATTAGTTTGAACATAATTCGTTTATTCACAGACCAAACATTATTTGAATTCGTCACGAATTGCTTCTTATCTTCAAAATATTAATTCATTGTATGTCTACCAACATTTTAAATGTATAATGCTGTTGACAGACATACAAGGAATTATATGTATGTATACTACCCATCAAAAGTTTAGACTCGCTAGTGTTAATGTAGAATGTCAACTGTTCTAAACTAGATTTTGCAAAATATTCCATGCTGTTTAAGTGATGTATTGTAAAACAAATTCGTAACGTTGAAAAATTATTGTCATGGGTTCAATAGATGATGAAACTCAGTGAAAATTGACGAATTTTGAACAAAACTCTACACCAAAACGCAGCTGTTCACATGCACGATATTTGCACATGCTTTTCAGCAAATTAATGCATGATCCTCATGCAATTCATCTGCATTTACGGTTTGCAGTTGGTTCCACCAAGTTAGGGGAGAAATTCATCATCGATGTAACCACATATATACAAAACATACAGTGAATGCTTTAAATGAGTCTAAACTTTTGATGGGCAGTATATGATAAAAATTAAAGTATGTCAATTCAAACAATTTTGTGTTCGTTTTCACCCCGGTTCATATTTTAGATGTTTCCTACGCAAAAACTGATGACGTATAACACACACGTAATGCAGGCCCAGGCCACACACAGAAGGTGCTAGTTACCTGTCATCGCTTTGAATGATTCAAAGGTTGCACTGACATAAGTGCACAACATCACAGGAAGCCGATATTGGCAATTACATCCACATGAACGGTAAAGTACGTCAATGTTTTGTATTTTTCCCACATACAGCGAATAATATCTCACCGGAAGTCCCCGTCTGCACATCCAATGTAGTCCATGGTGTTCTGGATCTACTGATATCGCTGCTGTGGTCAAGCGGATTGGATGTGTTTTAATCCTTTGCTAGGATTCAATTACGCTGTTAGTCAAACAGTAACCCTATTGCACATGTTTGTGATTTGCAAGTTATCTCTGGAGATGATGTTTGGTTCGATAGGGTTTGACTATCTAAAGAATCCGCCGTCATCTTGGCCGTAGCATTAATCTTTTTTTGTAAACAACGTACACACGTGTATGTCTAAACAATATTCTGAAATATTCTCGATCGTCTTGACCGTAGTATTGAATTACTATTAATCTATTTTTTATTGTTGTAAACAACATACTCTCGTGTCTAAACAATATTCTGAAGTGCCCTCGGGAAAGATTTCCGCCCGTAACCGCCGTATTTATTTTTAGTCATTACATGCCTAAGAATATACGCCTATGTTTTTCATAAACACCTAACCCTAACCCTAACCCTAAAATCTAACCCCAAACTAACCCTAAACCCTCGAAATGATCCCATTCCTAATAAATAGAATACATTTCAAGCCTGGTTACAGGCGGAACTCTTACCGCATATTGTGAGTAATAGTCGGTAGTGGTATATTTGGAACTGAAAAGTTATCAGGGGTAAACAACACCGGTCATGCGATGTAATGGATCAGCTTTGTGGGTTCCATGATTTAGTCGAAGAACTGTCAACACTGATCATGCTGATTACTTCAATAGGATCAGATTGTTTGTATTAACTGTATTCTTCTGATCCAATTGTGATTTGTGCTACAATGTGTTACAGACTGTTCCTGTACAGAACATGCCACAATAACAGACTTCCCATTTAATTAATTGTTTTTGATGCTTAGGACCTAGTTTGATCACCCATGAAGACCCGGGTTAGAATTGGTCTTCAGTAACCCATGCTTGTTGTTAGAGGCAACTAGCGAGATTGGGTGGTCAGGCTCGTCGATTTAGTTAATACAATAATAGTAATGCAGTAAAATACCTTTATAATGAATTCCAAGGGACCACTGAAATTAGATCGTTTATCCGTAGTTCGCTGTGTACTTTTTTATATGATAATATAAGGTTTATTCAAGACTTTTAAAACATTTCACTATAGTCGTCAGTTCTTTATATCCGTGTTCGTTATATAAGTAGTGACTAGTCTACTGTAATAATGATGGATCGGTCAGGTTACAAGGGGGAGGAGTAATGTGTTTCTTGTGGAAGATCAGGCCTACACCTATCTTGGGATGCAAGTTCAAGACAAGCTCCAGAGTGCAAAAATTCAAGACAAACCTCGGCCGAGTACAAATCTCGTTAAAGAAACCCTGGAGCTTAGAGCTAAATGCTCGAAACAACGTCAAAGCTACAAATACTTTTGCTGTGCCGGTCCTCTCCTATTCCTTTGGGGTAGTTGATGGGACTAAACAAGATATCCAGAGTCTTGACCGCCTGACCAAAAGGATCATGTCTGATAACAGAGCTCACCACCCTCGTTCCTCCCTCAACCGTTTATATATGCCAATCAATTCTGGAAGTCGGGGTTTGATTAATGTGGAGGTTCTTCATGATAGAATTGTATTGTGTACTTTTGCACATATTTATTTATCGGATGATCCTCTAGTGATGCATGTGAAGACTCATGATGAAAGCAAGGAATTCCACAGCTATCTTAAGTGTGCCAAGGTTGTTTGACAAAATCTGAAATTTGATGTTGATTTTGTTGATGGCGATGTACTGCTGGACGCTACAGCGATAGTAAGCCAGGTGAAGTCCTTCACCAAGTCTGCCCAGAGTCGGTCATTTGTGGAGAAGCTTTCTGAGAAGCCATTGCATCATGTATACATGCAGTGTGTGGAACAAAATAGCAATCCAACCGACTCCTTCGCCTGGATGAAGTCGACTGGTCTCAAATGTGAAACTGAGGGCTTCGTGTTTGCTGCTCAGGACCAGTCACTTCCCACTCGTAATTGTCAAAATGTGATTCTTAAAGAAAATATTAACATGAAATGCCGACTGTGTAATGAATTTACAGAGACTGTCCAACACCTTGTCAGTGGATGCCCTTCCTTGGCACAAACAGCATATCTTAAACAAATCACGAAGTACTTGTTGCTTTCAGTGTTTTTCATTTTGTCCAATTACGCACGTCAGCATCAGACTCGCTATTTGTCAGTAGTGTGTACTGTGAAAGTTGTTCTGTATTCTCATTGGCTGACAAGATGTCATTCTAAGGCTATGACCGAGTACCATAACTATTTCCATAACCAAAAACAAGGGAAACATACTTTGCCCTGACTAGTATTTTATAATATAATTCACCAGTTTTCGAGGAATAACTTATCTGCGTCGCTTATAATATCTCTGCTCAACCAGGCTGGGATCTTGTATGGAGACTTGAAACGTTATTAATGAGAACTAGGGCCTAGATTTTCGAAGCTCTCTCAGTGCTAAAATAGTTGTGAGTTAATGTTAATGTATGGCACTTACGACTATCTTAGCGCTAACAGCGCTTCGAAAATCTAGCTCTAGGATCCTAATGCTTTTCAGCAAAATAATTCCAGTGTAATTTTTCTTGCAGATAATTTCTATTTTTCGAATAATAGTTTTTTTAAAGTCCTACTCACCTTACAGTTACCCATTTGACACAAAAGGAGTTACAGCAATCACATTTCAAAAAAATATTTTCTTTGGGACTGGTCATTTATTTAAGGGGAAGGTTTTGCTGGTTGGAACTGAATCACATCTTGCTGACAAATAGTATTCTTGTTTGATATAGTCTATTTGTAAAATTAGTTTGATATCAAACTCTGCCTCCGTTTCGCTTGATTCTTCTTCTTCATCTTCCCTGGATGATTGTCTTGCAAGATGTAACATAGGGTCGTATTGATACGGTCTAACATCCATTTCATAAATGACATCAGGAACATATTTTACTGCTTCAGAATCCATGGACACTTTTAAGTTGTGAGGTAAAATCAAAGAGGAAGCCATCAGCAACAGGCACATATGGCGTCATGTCTCCGCTCATTAACTGTCGGGTGTTTCCGTAATAGGTGGAATTACGAGTACGTTTTTTTGTGTTTTTATTGCGATTTTACCAAATTTTTGTTCAATTTTTATCACAGAAGGTGACTTTTAGAATGCCTTTGCCTCTATGAAAAGTTTTGTTTTCGTTAGTGCACATATCTTGATTGAAAGTTATAAAAAAGTAAGTGATGGCAATTTGACATGACCTACAATATTTTCAAAATGACCTACATAACTGGGGGCTGGTGAGCCATGGGTCTGGAATGGGCACTGCTGCAAATGATGAAGGATCGCAGCGAAATTCAAGCGTTCCTTTATTATTTTCCAGTTGTCATCTCCAGCTTTGAATAGCGCTGTGGTGATGAAAACTGGAAAATATTATTTCCCTGTGATCCTTCATTTGTTTCTCTCAGTATATACTACTATTGAAGGATTGGTGTATGTGTCTTCATGCAAGGGATGGTATGTTTCCTTTCGTTGTGTTTGTTAAATCAAGATATAAACAAGTTAAACAACTGATGTAATTTCCAAACTAGTAAACCTTAGTGTTGGGAATTGGTTGCAATGTGAACAAACGTTAACATCATTTTTCAGATTTTCCTATCCAGGTTGTTATTGCAGTCTCAACCATAAAGTTTCTTTCATTGTCTTGATTGTATTAAATATTAATTAGTGCCTGTTTCAGTTTTTGCACAATGTTATGGTTGTGTCTTGTTTTGCCCACATGAGGTTTGTTGTAGAACACCACTAGTAAACCTGATGTGAACTACGCATTGTCTGTTGATCGATTAATTAGTGCCTGTTTCATTTTGCAACGACAGTGCTGCAGCCAGACTGTGTAATTGTCGATTGGATTCCACTAATTGTACTTACCTTGGGGATTTATTTATAAATGTATATGCAAATAATGGCACAAATTTATGATTTATAACATGTTTTGTATATCGGGTGGGTAATTAATTTCAAAATACGACTATTTTCATTGAAAGTGATGTGAAACATGTGGAAATGAAAATCAATTTTTTTTAAATTGAGGAATTCAAAACGAGGCACATTGTCAGTATGTCTATTTGCATATGAAACTGTCTTATGAATCACTGTAAGGAGCTCGTTTCACTGTACAGAGCTCGACTTGATGTACAGAAGTTATCATTAAATCTTTTGGGCTGTCTAAATGTCAAGAGAGAAGGATTACAGATTTTCTTACGTTTGGTTATTGGCCACATTTTCTAAACATAGGGGCCAACTGGCCCCTTCCAAGGAAATCCTGACTGCAGCACTGCTACAGTTATAAAAAAAATATTTTATTCTTGTATGTAATTCAAATCTTTTCTTCAGCAGGCAAATGGACAGAGGTGACAGCGGGAGAAGACCAGACACAGGCAGCTCCATGGATGTTGCTGATGAGGAGGCCCGACCTTCCCAGGGCGTCCCTGTGGGCGCAGCGAGATGTGAGACGTGCAGGCTTGGAGAGGACATGGATGTAGCCCCATGTGAGACCTGTCCTTGCAAGAAGATGAGACGAGGGTCTCGTAGGAGGAGCTCCAGTGATGAGGAGGTGGATGGTCAGCCTCAAGGGGGAGGCCAGCCTCCCAAACCCACTGGTCAGGACAGTGTGAAGATAGGCCGCTCTGGAGTCTATGCTCTAGCTCAATGTGAAAACAGAATTTTATCAAATAATTTCATCTCCTCTGCCAATTCTTCAAGCGTCCCGCTGAAGGAGAAGAAGAGTGCTGTGACCTTGAAGACGAGTCCTCTGAAGAGTTACGAAGACGACACCCAACATTTGTCCAGCTTCAGTCGCCTGCTACATAGAGGAGGGGCGGGAGATACCAACATGAACTGTAACTATGGCAACAAGAACACATCGTTCATTTCATCCAGTACTGTAGGTGTTCCTTCCACAAGCAGAGCTTATACGGACACTTCTGTTGCCATGCAAGCACAAGTTTCCTGTTTCCATGGCAACAGTGATGAGGATGCGAGCCAGATTCTTCCCCTGTCTCTGGTTGTGAATATATTCCAATATCTCTCAATGCCAGACTTGTTGTGTCGCGTGTGTCGAGTCTGTAAACTGTGGCACCAGGCTGCCCATGATCCATCTCTATGGCGACATATCTATTTGCCTGTGTCGTCAAGGGTTACAGACAGTATCTTGAACTGGTTGACCTCCCTCAGTGACCGGGTGTTGACCCTGGACGTGAGTGACAGCAAGCACACAACGTTCACAGATGAGGGTGTTATACAGATCCTTCAGAAGTGTCACTATATTAGGACACTCAAGTTGGCCAGGTGAGACTGTGGTAGGTGTGATGTTATACAGATCCTTCAGAAGTGTCACTATACTCGGACACACAAGTTGGCCAGGTGAGACTGTGGTAGGTGTGATGTTATACAGGTACTACAGAAGTGTCACTATATTCGGACACTCAAGTTGGCCAGGTGAGACTGTGGTAGGTGTGATGTTATACAAGTACTACAGAAGTGTCACTATATTCGGACACTCAAGTTGGCCAGGTGAGACTGTGGTAGGTGTGATGTTATACAGGTACTACAGAAGTGTCACTATATTAGGACACTCAAGTTGGCCAGGTGAGACTGTGGTAGGTGTGATGTTATACAGGTACTACAGAAGTGTCACTATATTCGGACACTCAAGTTGGCCAGGTGAGACTGGTAGGTGTGATGTTATACAGGTACTACAGAAGTGTCACTAAATTAGGACACTCAAGTTGGCCAGGTGAGACTGTGGTAGGTGTGATGTTATACAGATCCTTCAGAAGTGTCACTATATTAGGACACTCAAGTTGGCCAGGTGAGACTGTGGTAGGTGTGATGTTATACAGGTACTACAGAAGTGTCACTATATTAGGACACTCAAGTTGGCCAGGTGAGACTGTGGTAGGTGTGATGTTATACAGGTACTACAGAAGTGTCACTATATTAGGACACTCAAGTTGGCCAGGTGAGACTGTGGTAGGTGTGATGTTATACAGGTACTACAGAAGTGTCACAGAAGTGTCATATTAGGACACTCAAGTTGGCCAGGTGAGACTGTGGTAGGTGTGATGTTATACAGGTACTACAGAAGTGTCACTATATTCGGACACTCAAGTTGGCCAGGTGAGACTGTGGTAGGTGTGACGTTATACAGATCCTTCAGAAGTGTCACTATATTCGGACACTCAAGTTGGCCAGGTGAGACTGTGGTAGGTGTGATGTTATACAGGTACTACAGAAGTGTCACTATATTAGGACACTCAAGTTGGCCAGGTGAGACTGTGGTAGGTGTGATGTTATACAGGTACTACAGAAGTGTCACTATATTAGGACACTCAAGTTGGCCAGGTGAGACTGTGGTAGGTGTGATGTTATACAGGTACTACAGAAGTGTCACTATATTAGGACACTCAAGTTGGCCAGGTGAGACTGTGGTAGGTGTGATGTTATACAGGTACTACAGACAGAAGTGTCACTATATTAGGACACTCAAGTTGGCCAGGTGAGACTGTGGTAGGTGTGATGTTATACAGGTACTACAGAAGTGTCACTATATTCGGACACTCAAGTTGGCCAGGTGAGACTGTGGTAGGTGTGATGTTATACAGGTACTACAGAAGTGTCACTATATTCGGACACTCAAGTTGGCCAGGTGAGACTGTGGTAGGTGTGATGTTATACAGGTACTACAGAAGTGTCACTATATTAGGACACTCAAGTTGGCCAGGTGAGACTGTGGTAGGTGTGATGTTATACAGGTACTACAGAAGTGTCACTATATTAGGACACTCAGGTTGGCCAGGTGAGACTGTGGTAGGTGTGATGTTATACAGATCCTTCAGAAGTGTCACTATATTAGGACACTCAAGTTGGCCAGGTGAGACTGTGGTAGGTGTGATGTTATACAGGTACTACAGAAGTGTCACTATATTCGGACACTCAAGTTGGCCAGGTGAGACTGTGGTAGGTAGGTGTGATGTTATACAGATCCTTCAGAAGTGTCACTATATTCGGACACTCAAGTTGGCCAGGTGAGACTGGGTGGAAACGATGTTTAGGTCTACAGAAAGGTATACAAGATACATCTTGATACAATAGTTTGGACAGTGATACCCAGGAAACCCAGACACTAGATATCTGGAAATCTCGCCTTCCAGTCATTTTCATAAAAATGAAATTGTGCAGTGTTTTTAATGTCTATTCAACAAAGGTTTGATGGTCATGAACATATTTGGTTTCTCTTGACATGTACGAAAACACATGATGCAGATATCCAGATATTAAGTTTTCCAAACGATTTACGAATGTGTCTGGGTATCTTGGGTCTCACTGTACTTCTCTAATTTGTGTTTTCTTTTGTTTGTCAAATTGATGTTTTCTGATCTCAGGTACTTTGTGTTCTCGGACGATGTTTTTGAGTCTGTAGGCAAGTTCTGTCACCTCATTCGCCACCTCAACCTCGACGGCTGTTTCTCCATCTCTGACAAGTCCATTGTCGCGGTGAGTATGGGGAGCCCTTAATACAGCTTGTGACTGTAGTCTCAGGTGGTTCACTTGAATGACATCTGCAAATGACTTGGCTGATTGTATGTCATCACACCGATGCTTACCCTTCCCCTCATGTTTGTTGTTTAAAGTCCTGACACTTCTGTGCTGAATGGATCACCTCGTAAGAAAACCCTATTCGAGTGAGCTTAGTTTTACGCCACACTTAGCAATATTCCAACTATATGGCGGCGGTCTGTAATAACCGAATCTGAACCAGACAATCCAGTGATCAACAGCATGAATATCAATCTACGCAACTGGGATGCGATGACATGTGTCAACCAAGTCAACGAGCCAGACCACCGATCCCCGTTATTTGCCTCTTACGAGGTGAGGCATGGGTTACTGTAGTGAGTGAGTGAGTTTAGTTTTACGCCGCCCTCAGCAATATTTCAGCTATATGGCTACGGTCTGTAAATAATCGAGTCTGGTCCAGACAATCCAGTGATCAACAGCATGAGCATCGACCTGCGCAATTGGGAACCGATGACGTGTGTCAACCAAGCCAGCAAGCCTGACCACCCGATCCCGTTAGTCACCTCTTTTGACAAGCATGATCTACTGAAGGTTCATTCTAACCCGGATCCTGACAGGTAGAAAACCCTGAGAAGTGCTATGTAGAATTAACAAATGAACAGTGTCTTATTACTTTTATAACTTTAATGGATGTATTAGTATACAGTGGAATCTGTCTATTACGGACTGGCCTGGGACGGACTTATTTGTCCGGATTATAAAGCAGTCCAGATTAGTCAACTTCTCGATCCACGGGAAGGAGCATTGTATATTAGCAATAATATCTTCTGGCCTCGTCATCACATCTGTCTGTTTACTTCTTCCATCAGTGAATATGGCGTTATTCAGCACCAGCGCCTTGAGCATGCACTAGTTGCGTGGATATGTGCGCTAAAGAGAATACTACACGAGGTCTCATTACATACGAATTATATGAAACGAGTGTCCTTCCTATGGTATCTGACTGAGCGAAAGTGAGGTCAGAAACCATAGGAAGGTCATGAGTTTTGTATAATTCGTATGTAATGAGACCGAGTGTGGTATTCTATTTATTACCCATGTCTTACATGCATTAAATTGACAAAATAGCGTATTTTTAATATTGTTATGGTTTCAAACCAAAACTGGTTTCATAAAGAGGTTGCGGAAGAATTTTGTTCTGTAGTACTTTTTGCATGACGTCACACTATATTGACGTCACTACGCCATTCTTGTCTGTCCCCGTGGTAACCGACGTCACGATGCATGTCAGTTGTAATCGCCTCTTGTACAGCCTCCTACAGTAAACTACTCCGTAGCATCACTGGTGGAAACATTGCGTTTATGTTTTTCGACGGATATAATGTCTCAGTTCGACTGACAATTAAACAGCGACACGGCAACGTTCGCAATGTTTACATTCCCACAATGCATCTAAGTTGTAAAATGAATGAATTCATGTGTTTGTTATGAATGAACAAGTAGTTCCGTCAAAACGTGACCTAACTAAGAGGTCATCGGTTACCCAATCAAATCTATAGAATCTCAGGTCAAGATGTTATGACACAGGTCAACGCGATACGACACTCGTGTGACGTACGAGATTAGTATGCAACTACCCATACGTTGACCACGTGGGTAATAAATATAAGTACCCTATAATAATAATAAAAATATTCATCCAAGCCTTCCAAGCTGTCCATTGAGAACAGAAGTAACGGAGATGTTCATTCAACGGACTGTTATTTTAGTCAGCAATGTCCGGATTACAAAGCATTTCTGTCATAGCAAGTTGGTTGTTGGGACTGTTATTTTAGTACATAATCAGCGTCCGGATTATAAAGCAAGCTTTAATGATAAATTAAGAATAATTTTTCCGGGACTCTGAGAGTAGTCTGGATTGTGGAGAAAACCGGATTACAAAGAGTCCGGACTTGACAGATTCAACTGTACGTGAACCAGTATGAGAAAGCAGGGAATTTTGGGCTAACCACTTCTTTTATATTAAAGCTTACACCCCTGTTGCCATGCTGGAATGACTTCAACCAGATAAAGGAGAGGTTGTTTCATGTTAATCAAACATTTTAGGCTTACCCCATGTTCCTTTTGTTGGTCCCTGCCTGGCGCTCGGCATTAATGGGTACAACAAGGACTGGTCGGCTCGGAGTCAGTATAATGTGTCTGAGTGGGGTATTCATGCTTCACTGCGGCATGGTATCTCAGTGGGCTAGCGCTATAAAACCAGCTTAAGTCTGGGCTAGTACAAGCAGCCGCGCATACACATACACACGCATGCACGTCGTCATATGAGCGAAATATTCTCAAGCACAACGTTAAACCCAATTTCACCTCACCTCACCCATGTTCCTCTGTTCGTGATATCCAGATTGGCAACGGATGTCCACAGCTGGAGTATCTGTTCATGAGTCAGTGTAACAGGATATCTGACGAGGGCATGCTGGCCGTGGCGCACGGCTGTCCCCACCTCCGACAGCTCCGTATAGACCAGTGTGTCAAGGTGAGATTATTACACGGGAGTTTGTAGCTACGGCTGTCCCCACATCCGACAACTCCGTATAGACCAGTGTGTCAAGGTGAGATTATTACACGGGAGTTTGTAGCTACGGCTGTCCCCATCTCCGACAACTCCGTATAGACCAGTGTGTCAAGGTGAGATTATTACACGGGAGTTTGTAGCCACGGCTGTCCCCACCTCCGACAACTCCGTATAGACCAGTGTGTCAAGGTGACATTATTACACGGGGAGTTTAGCTACTGGCTGTCCCAACCTCCGACAACTCTGTATAGACCAGTGTGTCAAGGTGAGATTATTCCACGGGAGTTTGTAGTCACGGCTGTCCCCACCTCCGACAACTCCGTGTAGACCAGTGTGTCAAGGTGAGATTATTTCACGGGAGTTTGTAGCCACGGCTGTCCCCACCTCCGACAACTCCGTATAGACCAGTGTGTCAAGGTGAGATTATTACACGGGAGTTTGTAGCTACAGCTTCCCCACCTCCGACAACTCCGTATAGACCAGTGTGTCAAGGTGAGATTATTACACTGGAGTTTGTAGCTACGGCTATCCCCACCTCGGACAGCTCCGTATAGACCAGTGTGTCAAGGTGAGATTAGTACACGGGAGTTTGTAGCCACTGCTGTCCCCACCTCCAACAACTCCGTATAGACCAGTGTGTCAAGGTGAGATTATTACACGGCAGTTTGTAGCTACGGCTGTCCCAACCTACTACAACTCCGTATAGACCAGTGTGTCAAGGTGAGATTATTACACGGGAGTTTGTAGCCACGGCTATCCCCACCTCGGACAACTCCGTATAGACCAGTGTGTCAAGGTGAGATTATTACACGGCAGTTTGTAGCTACGGCTGTCCCCACCTCCGACAACTCCGTATAGACCAGTGTGTCAAGGTGAGATTATTACACGGGAGTTTGTAGCCACGGCTATCCCCACCTCGGACAACTCCGTATAGACCAGTGTGTCAAGGTGAGATTATTACACGGGAGTTTGTAGCTACGGCTGTCCCCACCTCCGACAACTCCGTATAGACCAGTGTGTCAAGGTGAGATTATTATCACGGGAGTTTGTAGCTACGGCTGTCCCCACCTCCGACAACTCCGTATAGACCAGTGTGTCAAGGTGAGATTATTATACGGCAGTTTGTAGCTACGGCTGTCCCCACCTCCGACAACTCCGTATAGACCAGTGTGTCAAGGTGAGATTATTACACGGGAGTTTGTAGCCACGGCTATCCCCACCTCGGACAACTCCGTATAGACCAGTGTGTCAAGGTGAGATTAGTACACGGGAGTTTGTAGCTACGGCTGTCCCCACCTCCGACAACTCCGTATAGACCAGTGTGTCAAGGTGAGATTATTCCACGGGAGTTTGTAGCTACGGCTGTCCCAGCCTACTACAACTCCGTATAGACCAGTGTGACAAGGTGAGATTAGTACACGGGAGTTTGTAGCTACGGCTGTCCCAACCTCCGACAACTCCGTATAGACCAGTGTGTCAAGGTGAGATTATTCCACGGGAGTTTGTAGCCACGGCTGTCCCCACCTCCGACAACTCCGTGTAGACCAGTGTGTCAAGGTGAGATTATTACACGGGAGTTTGTAGCCACGGCTGTCCCCACCTCCGACAACTCCGTATAGACCAGTGTGTCAAGGTGAGATTATTACAGTACCTGGTAAAACTGGAAACATTCTAGAAAACATACTGAAAGGATTGGTTGACAATTTGTGAACAAGATTTCACTGGAGTGTGTAGCTGGTCCAAATAGAAACGTTAAAGTGTTTACTTTTATCTTGTAGTTGTATTTGTATCGAGTTGAGTCCCGGTGTTCCAGGTGAAGGACGTGAGTGTGATGGCCCTGGTAGCCGGGTGTCCCAACCTGGAGTATCTCCATCTGCTGGCCTGCAGCCTCACAGACGATGGACTCCAGCAGCTGGCCAAGGTGAAGGATTGCTTGAGTGCTGGGGTGCAAGGGCAATAAATATTTGTTGATTTGGCAATTATTGTGAATTTACAACCTTGAAACATTTAACACTCTTTCCTCATACTCCATATACAGATGATGGGATATATAGGGTTTGTGATTTCCGGTTCATTTTGGGGGATGTTGACTGATTGTGAATGAAAAGAACCTGATGATATTTCCGGATATTGATAGGTGCTATCAGTCACTATACAGTCAAATCCCGATGAGTCGAATGCCGGTGTCTCGAATATTATGCATAACTCGAAGTACCTGTCGGTCCTTACCATTCCCTGTTATAGTTGTCATCATTTGAATACCGGTTACACGAATTCGTCTCATAAATACACACGATGACTCTAGAAGAAAATTTGGTCCCATGAGATTCAAACAACAGCAATCTTGTATACATAAGCCGAAGTCAGTCAATGAGAAGTTGATTGGTGTAGTAAACTGATCCAATTAACAAACCAGCGCGGCTCACACCTTTCCGCCATTGACGGGTGAGTTCAAAAGGCAGATTAGTGATTTTACGGAAATTACTGTCTGTGCTAATCAGACTGGAACTGATAAGGTGCCCCTATTAGTGATAGGGAAATCATTAGATAAACAAATGCTTAGGCGGAGGACTAAGGATAGGATCATCTTTTTTTCTACCCTTATAGACATACCTATGTCTCGAATACATCGATAAGTCGAATTTATTACTTGGTCCCCAGAGATTCGACTCATCGGGATTTGACTGTATATACATGTCAGCCTGGTCACTCACTCTCTCACTATCTATCTCACTCATTCACTCGCTTCCTCACTCACTCACTCACTCACTAACTTATTCCCTCACTCACTCAATCCCTTGGGCGGTGGGGGTAGCCTTGTGGTTAAAGCATTCGCCCATCATGCTGCAGACCCGAGTTCGATTCCCCACATGGGTACAATGTGTGAAGCCCATTTCTGGTGTCTCCCAGGGTGATATTACTGGAATATTGCTAAAAGTGGCGTAAACCTGAACTCATTCACTCACTCCCTCCCTTACTTATTCACTCACTCTCTTTTCTCTACCATAATCCCTGACTCACTCACATATCTCTCACTCACTCACTCACTGTCTGCTGCAGCTGCCCCGTCTCCGAATGCTGGATATCTCCAACATGACACAGCTGAGCTCGGCCTGTCTGGAGAACATCGCACGGAGCTGCAAGGAGCTGGAGGTGCTCAGCGTCTCTCTGAACCGCACGGTGGACGACGAGTGTATCAAGACCATCGTCCAGTCCTGCGTCCACCTCAAGTGTCTGTCCTGCGTGGCCTGTAACCTCACTGACAAGAGTAAGTTCCTGGAAACTGTGTATCAGTGAGGCCTGAAACTGGTAGATTGGACGTAGAGATATAACATGTCCCCAGTCTGCGGTGGTGTGTGGTCGTGTGCATACAGCTCAGGGTTTCGTTGTTCAAAACAATCGTAGCTAAGGTCAACCTTAAACACTAAGGTTAGAGTTACAATCACCTTAAGAAAAAGTTACGCCCGTTGCACAAAACAACCTTAAGGCAACCTTAACTCGGACTTGAACCTTAGCTGTAACCTTAACTAAGGCTGAACTCTTCAGCGCTGGAGTTAAGGAAGCGTCCCTAGTTACCACGTGAATTACCTCCCCTGCTCGCACCTCGGACGACAACAATGTCAATGTCCCAGCGGAAGCGTAACCGGCACTCAAACTTTTCTCTTTCCAAGATAAGTTTGATAGCTGACGAGGTGAAGCTGTGACAGAGTGTATTGTCACCAACACGGCCAAAATACGGGAATGGGATGAAATTTCTCTCAGTCTCCTTGTATAAAATAAAACCATCCGCCATATTCCCTACCCAACCTCAGTTATCAACCTTAACTTAAGGTTAACCTTAGTTAAGGTTGTTTCGTGCAACGGGAGGCTAACCTTAGTAAAGGTCGAAGGTTGTAATCTTAGAGATAAGGTTGACCTTAAGAGATAAGGTTGTTTTGAACAACGGAGCCCAGGTCACAAATAAGTTGAAGTTAAGCTACACTGGGTGTTGAGACTCCTTGGATGGGAGTTTCTAGGACTTCAGTCCTGGCCTCAACGAAGCACATGTGATACCTGTGGTCTCACCTTAGGCAAGTGAGTTTGTTCAAAATTGCCTCTGTTCACCCAGCAGAAAATGGGTACCCGATGGGATAAGTCATGTGACCATAACATACTAGTGCCTCATTGTTAGCTTGGGTTATCCGGGGTGATAATGAGCTGTGATTTGTCAACGCTTCCAGTATCTCTCGTGTGATTTGGGGGCGGTGGGGTAGCCTAATGGTTAAGCGTTGGCTCGTCACGCCGAAGACCCGGGTTCGAATCCCCACATGGGTACAATGTGTGAAGCCCATTTCTGGTGTCCCCTGCCGTGATGTTGCTGGAATATTGCTAAAATCGGCGTAAAACCAAACTCAGTCCGTCAGTCGTGTGATTGGGCAATGTGTTACGAATATGTAATCGTTGTCTTATTCATGCTGTCTAAGCTTCTCCAAGTGTTTACCCTAGGGACCACTTGCACAAAGTAATCTTAGCTCAATAACTGTTCTAATTTTATGTCCTCACAGACAGGGAAATATCACAGCCACTGAAGAAGTACTTCCTGTCTATTTTTTACAGACAAGTTACCAGGCTAGAACTGTCCAAGCATGTGTGCATATTGGGGGCACATTTCTGCGTTGAGTAAAACTTTGTGGTATTGTTTCTACTTTTGAAACCTGTGCATGCATGCAGTCATGTTGTTATAACTAGCAAATGTTTGTGGTTTCAGCCCTGGAGTACATCGGCCGGTACAGCAAGACGGTCGAGCGGGTGGATGTAGCGTGGTGTGGGGAGATCACAGATAACGGTGTGCGAGCCATATCAGAAACCTGTAAATCCCTCCGCTACCTTGGTCTGATGAGGTGTGGTCAGGTTACCATGGAGACAGTGGACGAACTTATCCTGCTCCACCCACAGATCCACTACTCAAACTTTGTGCTGGAGTCAAGGAAGTTGCTACAGCGGGCACGGAATGATGGACATCCTGTACCGCTTCACTTCCTCAGCTGATCCTGGATAGTTGCTAGGTAACGATGGAGTCGGTGATGTCTGTGTCACAGCTGATGGTGGATGGTTGCCCGATGATGATGGAGTCAGTGATGTGTGTCTTCTCAGCTGATGGTGGTTGCCAAGTGACAATGGAGTCAGTGATGTCTGTGTCACCAGCTGATGGTGGACGGTTGCCAGGTGACGAAGGAGTCACTGGTGCCTGTTTCTCAGCTGAATGTGGACAGTTGCCAGGTGACAATGGAGTCAGTGATGTCTGTGTTCTCAGCTGATAGTGGACGGTTGCCAGGTGACAATGGAGTCAGTAATGTCTGTGCTCTCAGCTGAATGTGGACGGTTGCTAGGTGACAATGGAGTCAGCAATGTCTGCTCTCAGCTGAATGTGGACGGTTGCAAGGTGACAATGGAGTCAGTGATGTCTGTGTTCTCAGCTGATAGTGGACGGTTGCCAGGTGACAATGGAGTCAGTAATGTCTGTGCTCTCAGCTGAATGTGGACGGTTGCCAGGTGACAATAGAGTCAGCAATGTCTGCTCTCAGCTGAATGTGGACGGTTGCCAGGTGACAATGGAGTCCGTGATGTCTGTGCTGTCAGCTGAATGTGGACGGTTGCCAGGTGACAATGGAGTCCGTGATGTCTGTGCTGTCAGCTGAATGTGGACGGTTGCTAGGTGACAATGGAGTCAGTGATGTCTATGCTGTCAGCTGAATGTGGACGGTTGCTAGGTGACAATGGAATCAGTGATGTCTATGCTGTCAGCTGAATGTGGACGGTTGCTAGGTGACAATGGAGTCAGTGATGTCTGTGCTGTCAGCTGAATGTGGACGGTTGCTAGGTGACAATGGAGTCAGTGATATCTGTGCTCTCAGCTAAATGTTGCCAGGTGACAATGGAGTCAGCAATGTCTGCTCTCAGCTGAATGTGGACGGTTGCCAGGTGACAATGGAGTCAGTGATGTCTATGTTCTCAGCTGCTGGTGGACGGTGGCCTGGTGACGAAGGAGTCACTGGTGCCTGTTTCTCAGCTGATAGTGGACGGTTGCCAGGTGACAATGGAGTCCATGATGTCTGTGCTGTCAGCTGAATGTGGACGGTTGCCAGGTGACAATGGAGTCCGTGATGTCTGTGCTGTCAGCTGAATGTGGACGGTTGCCAGGTGACAATGGAGTCCGTGATGTCTGTGTTCTCAGCTGAATGTTGCCAGGTGATGACAGAGTTTGTGATATCTGTCTCACCAGCTGATGGTGTGCCAAGTTATGAAGCAGATAGTTTGTACAAAGCTATCTTTAAATGATAGAGCCATGCAGTAATACAGTGATGTCTGTCTTAAGTGGAGTGATTATCACCTGGAACACAGATGGCCCAAAGGGTTCCAGATGGTCCAAAGGGTTTCAGAATCCTATGATCCTGGGTTCGAATCCAATATTCACCTGGTTTAATTCCACCAGAAATTCACCAGAAAGGCTATCACATGCAGCACAAAGCTGACATGTCCTGATAAAACTGATGTGCTGTTTACACAACACTGTTGTGCTGTTTACAAGTCTATCACTGTCACTGTGGCATGAAGTCAGTCATGCTCCGGTAACCAAGCCGATCGTTAAAGACACCCACCGGACCCGTTTCTCGTGACTGTCACCTGCCGATATTCTGCCATTTAAGTCCCATAAGCAGTCATACGGGGTGAAGATGCAATCAGTAGAAGTATATAATCCTTGGTGCTGTGGGAGGATTTGCAAATGACGGACATGACCATGAAGAAAGTTAAGTTTGTCCATAAACAAGAGGGGGGCGATGGGGTAGTCTAGTGGTTAAAGCGTTGGCTCGTCACGCCGAAGACCCGGGTTCGAATCCCCACATGGGTACAATGAGTGAAGCCCATATCTGGTGTCCCCCGCCGTGATATTGCTGGAATATTGCTAAAAGCGGCGTAAAACCAAACTCAGTCAGTCAGTCAGTCCATAAACAAGAGGCACAATGAAGACGTATAAACATTCAGGTCCTGAGTCTGCGCGTGACTAACTGGACCCAGCTGCAGAAGGAAACATGTCACAAGCACAAGACTAATAGGCATGACATCAGCTGATTGAGTTGTCTCCCTTATCTCCACCAGGATGTCATCTAGCAAGACATTGTGCATGTTTATCCCACACTGTGCAGTTTCTGCCAGGTTACTGTTGTGACATTGATATAGATAGGCGTTAAAACTGTCAGATAGGTCTGGCTATCTATAAAAATCATGGAAATTGATAATCAACAACTAGATATTGATTGATTATTGGTAAACATCAGAGAAATAAATGAGCAAAACTCGCAAAAAGAGTCCGAATGAAATCCACATGTGAGTGGTCACGTGTTTATGCAGCTGGCTGTATTACACTGAAGTCCTGGCGGTATTCAGACTCACTAACCAGAGTGAGTGAGTATGGTTTTATGCCGCTTTCAGCAGTATTCCAGCAATGGAAGGGTAGCCGAGTGGTTGAAGCATTCGCATGTCACGCCGAAGACCCGGGTTCGATTCCCCACATGAGTAAGATGTGTGGAGCCCATTTCTGCTGTCCCCCGCTTTGATATTGCTGGAATATTGCCAAAAACGGCGTAAAACCTCACTCACTGACTCGCTCCCTCATTGTGACGTCATACTTATCAAAGTTTGATTACTCAATCAAAATTAACGATGGTTGTGTTTATGATATATGTTGAAGTCTTTGAAGGGCATTAATAAGTGATACACACAAAAGGTGAGAATTTATAGATGTCAACTTTTTATTATGAGGAACACGATGTTATAAAGTATACTCTTACTTCTTCACTCTTCTGATTATGTGTTGCTATTCTGAGACTGTTATTGACACTTAAAAAGCAACTTATTTCTGCACAAAGTCAATCCCACATCAACACATCACAGTTCACTGTAGATGAAAAACAACATGGCGGTGACTATTTTTGCTATTCTCCACTTACGACCTGTTCAATGTTTTAGAGGTAACATGTTAACACATTGACTGCCTATCACGAGTATACTTGTAGTATCAATTCTGGCCGAATTTGCCACTACGAGTTGTCTCGTAGATACATCAGTGGTATTTCAGTCAGTCAGTCTATTCCGTTGACAGTCAAACTGTTTCTCTCCATCCTTTCTCTCCTTCATTCCACCGGAAGGTCGCGGGTTCGATCCCCAGCCGCGTCATACCAAAAGACGTTAAAATATGGTACTTGTTGCTCCCTGCCTGGCGCTCGGACTGGTCGGCTCGGAGTCAGTATAATGTGTCTGAGTGGGGTATTCAAGCTTCACTGCGTCATGGTATCTCAGTGGGCTAGCACTATAAAACCAGCTTCAGTCTGGGCTAGTACAAGCAGCCGCACACACACATACACACGCATGCACGTCGTCATATGAGCGAAATATTCTCAAGCACGACATTAAACCCAATTTCACCTCACCTCCTCCATTCCACACACAAAACTGATAAGTCCCTTACTTCCACAGTGGGCATTCAGCACTTCCAGACCAACAGTCTTTGTCTGAATGATTTGTTTTACCACAAACTTTAAATCATGGATATTACCCCTTCTAAATCTTCTAGGTAGAGAATTTGGTCTCTGTGTATGAAGTTCACGAGCATCTCTTGCCGCTGTATCCATAGACACTGCAAGTTTCAAAGCATTTCTCTAAAGTATATGAATATCTTCAGTAAGGAATCTCTTGTATTGCATCAGTCTTCAAATTGCAAACAATCAGGTCTCGAATTTGGTAACTTAAACCTTGTCCAAAATCAATGTTCACTCAACTGGTGTAGTATAGCCACACAGTCGGTCACAGATTCATTTGACGACTGTTTCTTGACATGAAATCTATATCTCTGAGATATTACCACAGGTTTGGGTGAACAATGGGCAGTTAAAACCATGCATAGGTTTTCCAAAGTTTGGGTATTGGGATTCAAAGGTGAAAGCAAACTTCTGAAAAATGTGTAAGATTTTGCCCCTATAATGGCAAGGAATGCATTTACTTGACGGTCTTCGATAATTCCGTTAGCGGCAAGGAATGCATTTACTTGACGGTCTTCGATAATTCCGTTAGCGGCAAGGAATGCATTTACTTGACGGTCTTCGATAATTCCGTTAGTGGCAAGAAATGCATTTACTTGACGGTCTTCGATAATTCCGTTAGCAGCAAGGAATGCATTTACTTGACGGTCTTCGTTAATTCCATTAGCGGCAAGGAATGCCTTGACATGCTCAACATAATCGTCCCACTGACAGCTCACCTTGTCGTAAGGCTTGTATTCTCCAATGGCTGCCATACTGATAACGGCTCACTGGTTCTTTCAGCTAATGGCGCTTGAAAAATCCTCGTCACCAGCGTTACGTTCGTTCCATGACTGAACAGACTGGTGGAACACAACACAACTTTTCTTGACTTCAGAGTTTGAATCAAGCTTTGACACCAAAATATTCCAAACAAAATTTCTAGAAAAGGCCATTGTGCAGTTTGCCTCAAGGCTCAAGAAAGCTGATTTCTGATTGGTTATGGTGACTTCCTGTCAGTAATTTCAATGGTAAAAAGTTCATGAAAGGTCAATATGAGCTGTCTCGGGTGATGCAGTGGACACCATAAAGAACTGACTTTAATCAGTTTGCCAGTATAATGGATTTTAATCAGTTTGCAAGTGTAATAGATTATTTTAATGAGCCTACATGTGTCATGGAATATGAGTTAGCGTGTGTAAATTGTCATGAAGCTGAATATATTGAAAGCAGGAGATGGAATATACAGTTTGATAGTGAAGTCTTTAGTGTTGCATATATAAGTACCTGGTAATAAAGAACGAGGCACGAGTCGCCAATATTATGTTTGGATATTCGTCAACAGCATCATTTACTAATGTCATGTGATATTTCCTTTTGCGTCTGTTTACTAAAACTGAGTGAATACTAGGATGTCAGATTTGTTCCATTATTTATTACCATCAGTATATCCAGTTGCAGGATTGTCATTTGTGTTTCAGAATTGATGGATGTGATGAAATGTACAAATAAATCTCATCTGTAGTGAGTCTGCCTTTTGAGTTGAAGGTCACGTGGACAGCCACCATTGTAACCACTCAATCTTTAGTCAATGAACAGGATGAGGTGGTCAGGTTTTGGTTGATTGGTCGTCATCTGTAGATTGATGCTCATGATGTCAATCACTTGATTGTTTGTTGTTTAACAGACGGGTATATACACCAGACAGAATCGTAGTTGACTGTAAGAGTGAAACAGTACGATCTTACGATCCTACAGTAAAGTATGTATTGCGGTACAAGGCGTTCAGTTCGGTCCGTTTCAGTTTGGTATATGAGAACTTACCTCCGGGAAAATAGCAGCCATCTAGCAAAGAAATGCATAGATTTCGACAAACTGATTCTATTTTTAGACATTTTAGAAAGGGTTTAAGAAGGTTAATAAAATGACGGAACGGAAACCAAAAATACCAATCTTTGGATTGCATTACGGTCAACCGAAGGCAAAATACCCCAGTTCTACTAATACCGCGGTGTACTGTTACAGCCCTAGTTGACAGAAATAATCAACACATTCAGGGGTCAAGGACTATCAGCAACGACTTGTTTTATTGGTCCCATAATTCACTATGGATATGATGTAAAATGGAACACAGGACCCGTTCCACAGGCTGATATTAGCGCTAAAGTAGGTTTATTGTCATCTATTGTGCTGCTGTGTTCAACCAATGTTACTTGACCTGAGGACCATGCCACACCTCACAGGAATTTAAACTTGTGCAACTTGAGTTGAAACAACCATGTTTAATGTTGCACTGAGCCATCATCCACCTGTAAGAGGAGGTCTGGAGTAGTCTATCCCGTTACTAACGTCACAATCATCCACCTGTACGAGGAAGTCTGGAGTAGTCTATCCAGTGACTAACGTCACAATCATCCACCTGTACGAGGAGGTCTGGAGTAGTCTGTCCAGTGACTAACGTCACAATCATCCACCTGTACGAGGAGGTCTGGAGTAGTCTGTCCAGTGACTAACGTCACAATCATCGACCTCTACGAGGAGGTCTGGAGTAGTCTGTCCAGTGACTAACGTCACAATCATCGACCTCAATGGGGACACAATCACTTGCATCAAGAAAGTCACTCAGTTTGCCTGATCCCGTTAGTCGCCTCTTGCAACAAGCATGGGTTGCTAGAGATTACTGAACAACATGCACACCTCAACACCCAGTGTAATGAAATAAATACAAAAAGGCTCGGTGCTTGATAAATGCACATGCTAATAATCATGATCAACAATTTATTCCTGAATAAATACATGATGTACACAGGAACTAGTAGATAAGGTTGTCATCTGCATGGACAGTCAGCTTGTAGCACAAGATCAGGACCTTGTCTTAGTAACTAGCAGCAGAGTGGTGGGGGCAGACAGTGACTGGGGATCTGTTGCCTTGTCAGCTTGGACATGGAGAGAGTATAGGCGGGGATCTGTTGCCAGGTCAGCTTGGACATGGAGAGAGTATACGTGGGGATCTGTTGCCAGGTCAGCTTGGACATGGACAGAGTATACCCGGGGATCTGTTGCCAGGTCAGCTTGGACATGGAGAGAGTATACGTGGGGATCTGTTGCCTTGTCAGCTTGGATATGGAGATAGTATACGTGGGGATCTGTTGCCCGGTCAGCCTGGACATGGAGAGAGTATACGTGGGGATCTGTTGCCAGGTCAGCTTGGACATGGAGACAGTATACGCGGGGATCTGTTGCCAGGTCAGCTTGGATATGGAGAGAGTATACGTGGGGATCTGTTGCCCGGTCAGCCTGGACATGGAGAGAGTATACGCGGGGATCTGTTGCCAGGTCAGCTTGGACATGGAGACAGTATACGCGGGGATCTGTTGCCAGGTCAGCTTGGACATGGAGAGAGTATAGGCGGGGATCTGTTGCCAGGTCAGCTTGGACATGGAGAGAGTATACGTGGGGATCTGTTGCCAGGTCAGCTTGGACATGGAAAGAGTATACCGGGGATCTGTTGCCAGGTCAGCTTGGACATGGAGACAGTATACGTGGGGATCTGTTGCCTTGTCAGCTTGGATATGGAGAGAGTATACGTGGGGATCTGTTGCCCGGTCAGCCTGGACATGGAGAGTATACGTGGGGATCTGTTGCCAGGTCAGCTTGGACATGGAGACAGTATGTGAGGATCTGTTGCCAGGTCAGCTTGGATATGGAGAGAGTATCGTGGGGATCTGTTGCCCGGTCAGCCTGGACATGGAGAGTATATCTTGGGGATCTGTTGCCAGGTCAGCTTGGACATGGAGACAGTATCACTTGCGGGGATCTGTTGCCAGGTCAGCTTGGACATGGAGACAGTATCGTGGGGATCTGTTGCCAGGTCAGCTTGGACGTGGAGAGTATACGTGGGGATCTGTTGCCAGGTCAGCTTGGACATGGAGAGTATATCTGCGGGGATCTGTTGCCTTGTCAGCTTGGATATGGAGACAGTATCGTGGGGATCTGTTGCCAGGTCAGCTTGGACGTGGAGAGAGTATCGTGGGGATCTGTTGCCAGGTCAGCTTGGACATGGAGAGAGTATCTGCGAGGGATCTGTTGCCAGGTCAGCTTGGACATGGAGACAGTATACACGGGGATCTGTTGCCAGGTCAGCTTGGACATGGAGACAGTATACGTGGGGATCTGTTGCCAGGTCAGCTTGGACGTGGAGAGAGTATACGTGGGGATCTGTTGCCAGGTCAGCTTGGACGTGGAGAGAGTATACGTGGGGATCTGTTGCCAGGTCAGCTTGGACATGGAGACAGTATACGCGGGGATCCGTTGCCAGGTCAGCTTGGACATGGAGACAGTATACGTGGGGATCTGTTGCCAGGTCAGCTTGGACGTGGAGAGAGTATACGTGGGGATCTGTTGCCAGGTCAGCTTGGACCTGGAGAGAGTATACGTGGGGATCTGTTGCCAGGTCAGCTTGGACATGGAGACAGTATACATGGGGAGACAGTGAGGTACAATCCCCAGTCACAATGTCCAGAATAGATAAACAAAACAAACTGACCAAAACAATACAGTGTAAATAACCTTTCTTCTAGTCAAGAGGAAATGATTTATCGAAAACCATTTCCACAAAACAATCTGATCACTACTACAGTCATAAGTCTATGCGGTAAGATCATGTGGGACAGGACTCAAGAATTACAATATATACTGGACAAAAATAGTTAGGGATATATGTAAATTTTGTAATTATGAATAATGATCAAATAATTCACTGACACACTGATAAAATATCAATCATAAAAATACCAATATCCCTAATTTATTTTGTCCAGTATATGAGTACTCCCATTGTAAGGTCAAACCCATTTACTCTGGGAGCTGCAATGAAAAGGATACAGTTCTGGACCATGTCCAGTCCTGGTTTAGATGTAGGGCTGACCATATTTCCTCCATTTAATGCCCAGACACTCTATGCAGCACTAAATGTTACGATAATATTGAGAATGCATAAAGGCATTGCAGTGTTTAGTTTAACCCAGATACAGCGTTTAATCAAGACAATTTATTTTAGGAACTCTGCTGTCTGACAAAGAAACACTGCTATGTATGAATAAAAATTAGTATGAGCACTAAGCAGTTCAATGAACCGTGGGTGTAGCAGTCGTCAGCAAGGGTGTTGTGACATAGTAGGCAACAGTTCAAAGGGATACCAGTAACATCCCCACATTGGCGCGTGAACCAAAATTATGGAATCAAGCGATATTGAGAATTATCCAGCATAATGAACTGAAATGAATGATGATTATCGAGCTCATTGAGGTGAATTACAAGGCGTATTTGGAGTAAGATGTCCTCTCCCCTTAGTTTGTCAATCTGTCTACTAAAAAGCCAAAGCACCCTTTAGTTCCTCATAGAATCTGACATAAATTCAACATGGATGTAAAGTGGCCATGGAGAGCCTGTAGCCTCTGAACAGAAAGCTGATTCAATACATGGAAACAATCTGACAAATATCTGCAAAATTGTAAATGTATTTCAATGGAACCATTTCAGAGGCCAATACAATAAATTAATTTCCACAAGGGAAAAATCCCCCCCGACCCCTATTCCTTGAACTATATGTTACATTTGTTACATCTGTGAGAAACAATCCAAGGGCTGGCACAAGACTTGACCACTGACCAGTCATGATGGACATGCCTCCAGATCTACCAGGTTCTAGCTTTGGAAAAGCTTGGCAGTGAAACAATACTCTTCAACATTGGTAGGTTAACTTGACCTTCTAAAAGTAAATGGCTACAAACAGGAATCGCAAAAAGGTGATTCGTAAGGCAGTCGTATCTAAAAGGAAATGCTTAACAAAAGTAACATGGAATAACAGCAATGTCAACAACATTAATATATAGAGAGTAGAAAACAGATTTCACACGTTCCTGTGAACAAGTAAACAACCAGCAGTAGCATGTTACAATGCAATATCCAGGGTACACACACAAAATACCAATGATACACACGATACACCCAAGTATACTAATGATACACCCATTAAACATGATACACTCATGGTATATCACCGATACCCGATACACCCAAGTATACTAATGATACACCCATTAAACATGATACACTCATGGTATATCACTGATACAGATGGTACATGATAAATCCATGGTATATCACTGTTACACAATACATCCATGGTATATCAATGTTACACGATACATCCATGGTACATCAATGTTACACGATACATCCATGGTATATCAATGTTACACGATACATCCATGGTATATCAATGGTACACAATACATCCATGGTATATCAGTGTTACACAATACATCCATGGTATATCAATCAGACACAATATATCCATGGTATATCAATGTGACACAATACATCCATGGTATATCCATGGAACACGATACATCCATGGTATATCAATGGGACACACTATATCCATGGTATATCAATGTTACACGATACATCCATGGTATATCAATGTGACACAATACATCCATGGTATATCAATGTGACACAATACATCCATGGTATATCAATGGTACACGATACATCCATGGTACATCAATGTGACACAATATATCCATGGTATATCAATGTTACACAATACATCCATGGTATATCAATGTGACACAATACATCCATGGTATATCAATGTGACACAATACATCCATGGTATATCAATGGTACACGATACATCCATGGTATATCAATGTGACACAATATATCCATGGTATATCAATGTTACACGATACATCGATGGTATATCAATGTTACACAATACATCCATGGTATATCAATCAGACACAATATATCCATGGTATATCAATGTGACACAATATATCCATGGTATATCAATGTTACACGATACATCCATGGTATATCAATGTGACACAATACATCCATGGTATATCAATGTGACACAATACATCCATGGTATATCAATGGTACACGATACATTCATGGTATATCAATGTGACACAATATATCCATGGTATATCAATGTTACACAATACATCCATGGTATATCAATGTTACACCATACATCCATGGTATATCAATGGTACACGATACATCCATGGTATATCAATGGTACACGATACATCCATGGTATATCAATGTGACACAATACATCCATGGTACATCAATGTGACACAATACATCCATGGTATATCAATGTGACACAATACATCCACGGTATATCAATGTGACACAATACATCCATGGTCCATCAATGTGACACAATATATCCATGGTATATCAATGGGACACAATACATCCATGGTATATCAATGTTACACAATACATCCATGGTATATCAATGTTACACAATACATCCATGGTATATCAATGTGACACAATACATCCATGGTATATCAATGTGACACAATACATCCATGGTATATCAATGGTACACGATACATCCATGGTATATCAATGTGACACAATATATCCATGGTATATCAATGTGACACAATACATCCATGGTATATCAATGTGACACAATACATCCATGGTATATCAATGTTACACGATACATCCATGGTATATCACTGTGACACGATACATCCCTGGTATATCAATGTTACACAATACATCCATGGTATATCAATGTTACACAATACATCCATGGTATATCAATGTGACACAATACATCCATGGTATATCAATGGTACACGATACATCCATGGTATATCAATGTGACACAATATATCCATGGTATATCAATGTGACACAATACATCCATGGTATATCAATGTCACACAATACATCCATGGTATATCAATGTGACACAATATATCCATGGTATATCAATGGTACACGATACATCCATGGCATATCAATGTGACACATTATATCCATGGTATATCAATGTTACACAATACATCCATGGTATATCAATGTGACACAATACATCCATGGTATATCAATGTTACACAATACATCCATGGTATATCAATGTGACACAATATATCCATGGTATATCAATGGTACATTACGATACATCCATGGCATATCAATGTGACACATTATATCCATGGTATATCAATGTTACACAATACATCCATGGTATATCAATGTGACACAATACATCCATGGTATATCAATGTTACACAATACATCCATGGTATATCAATCAGACACAATATATCCATGGTATATCAATGGTACACGATACATCCATGGCATATCAATGTGACACATTATATCCATGGTATATCAATGTTACACAATACATCCATGGTATATCAATGTGACACAATACATCCATGGTATATCAATGTTACACGATACATCCATGGTATATCAATGGTACACGATACATCCATGGTATCTCAATGTTACACAATGCATCCATGGTATATCAATGTGACACAATACATCCATGGTATATCAATGTTACACGATACATCCATGGCATATCAATGTTACATCCATGGTATAACAATGTTACACACGTTACACATGATACATAAATGGTTTGCACCTTTTACACACACTTACTAGCTGACTAGAGGGATGTGCCTTGTCACAGACTAGCAGACTAGAGGCTGGGTCCAACCTTCAAGTGGTGCCTTCTTGCAGAGTCCAGATGACCCTGGATAACTTGACGTAAGTGGCAGCCTCTCCACAAGCATGATACTTTCACCTCCACATACAGCCATATTTTCCTTTCTTTTATATTATTCATCATAATGTCTCATCTAAAGTGGAACTTAAAATTATAATAAGTCAACACCAAGCAGTTATAGGTACACTTCAGGTACATGTAACACAATCCTCTTAGCACTATTAATATCGTAAGTCTATGGTAGAGGGTGGAATTTACGAAGATCGTAGCCCTGAGACCATTTTGCACAAAGCCTATGTGATAAAGTTATAACCAACATAGGAACAAGGGAGAGGTTGAGATACATTCAACAGAGAGACATGATCACACTTGGGTACACTTGTACAAGCTTAGCACTACGATGATCATAACTCACTTACTCTACAATGGACTTACGATAGATGTAGCCCTGGTGTGCAATGGCTGGGTGTACTTGTACAAGCTTAGCACTACGATGATCGCAACTCACTTACTCTACAATTGACTTGCGATAGATGTAGAACTGGAGCTCCTTTCACGAAGCAAATTTACTAAGGTTAACCTTAACTCCCATTCTTTAACATTGCACTAAGGTTACCTTAGTGACTTACGATCACCTTAGTGCTTTGTGAAAGGAGGCCTAGGTGTACAGTGGCTGGGTGTACTTGTACAAGCGTAGGGCTGGATGGATAAACTTGTATAAGCTTAGCACTATGATGATCGTAACTCCTTTACTCTACAAAAGACTTACGATAGATGTAGTCCTGGTGTACATGGGCTGGGTGTGGCGTTGGTAAGTTTCATGTGAAGTTGGTGTCTCAACTAAGACAAGTACAGACTGTCCATATGTTTTATGAGCTTCTCATGTCCCACTCGTACTGAATTTTGACATGAAATGATACAAAGTTTTCCTATCTCCATTTTTCCCGATGTGACAAAACAATATATTCTTACACTTGGACTCATATT